ACGCATCTCCCGAATTAAAGGCATTTAAAGCCTCTTGGGAGAAACAACCGTCGCGTAGAATTGTCCGGCGACGCCTGTGGTTCATGGCACTCTCCACTTCAGACTTTGTGGCAGACAGCCTGTCCGCATCCTCTGTCGGAGGAGCATCCGGTGCGCGCCTTGTGCTCGCCTCCGCTTCCTGGCCAGACGTTGGAGCCTGGCTGGTGGAGGCGCGATTGGCAACCTCTCCGGATGTAGTGCGGCGAGGTCTCTTCGTTCTGAAGATAGCACGAACGTTAATATGCCCTAACAGAATAACTCCAGGGAAACAGAGGGTGCACTATACCTTTGCGCCGGCATCTCAGTCCGGACTTCATTCCTTTTTGCCCCACGGGGCCCTGCGGCCCCTCGTTGGCTAGCCGCCGCAGGTTCGGCCTCCTGCCTCGGAAATCTCCCCTGCAAAACATGGATGTCGTCAGAAACACCGGGCTACGTGAGGGTGGAATCTCTTTCAAGGGAATAAGACCCCGGTTTTGTCACCTGGGAGGCCGGGATTAACCCTGGGTAATCCGTCGTAATGGCTACCAAGGTATTGTCCTTGCTTAGCTGATGGAACACCCCATCGATAAGCTCCACTGATATGTCCGGATCCTCTTCGGAGTCCGGATTGAGGGACCGTTCTGGGTCCTCGGGCTGTGGAGGGCGGCTGCTTATATCCTTTACCTCCTGTCGCAGTTCCTGCATTAAAGTCGTTAGACTACCTATCTAACCATGGGAGTATAAAACAAACGGGCAAGCGCAATTGTTCACTTACCCAACTTGGAGGATCATACATACTGAATCCGGCCCGCGGGTTGACGCGGAGGAATTCCTCCTTTTCTCCTTGTGCAAAGAGGATAAGATCTTTACTAAGGCGGCGGCTGAGGTCGGCCCCTTACGACCATGTGTGGCATCATCCTCCCCGTTGAAATCCCACATGGGGTGGCCTCTATATTGAAGCGGCTACACCCCCGCATAATGCATGTGGCCATGACTCCAATCATGGTTAGTCCGGAATGAGCCAACAGTCTTATCCGACCCATCAGGTAAAGGACGTCTCTGTCGCTTTCTCTCTGAGAGCTCCGCGGACGCCAGCTCAAGCGTTTCTTTAATGGAGCACTGTTGAACTCAGGGAGACCGACCTGGATAGGGTCCGGTAGCGGGACGTCATCTATATAAAACCATTCCGAAGGCCAGTCCTCGGACGCCTTCTTTGGGGTTCCGGATAGGTATCCGGTCCCGGCGATGCGCCATACTTCGGCTCCGCCCACTTGGTATATAGACCCCTCTCGAGAACGGGGCACCAGGCAGAATAACCTCTTCCACAGCGCGAAATGAGCCTCAACGCCTAAAAATAGCTCGCAAAGGGCGACGAAACCCGCAATATGCAATACGGAGGCGGGCGTGAGATTGTGCAGCTGGAGGCCGTAGAACTCCAGAAGCCCGCGGAGAAATGGATGAATTGGAAATCCCAGTCCCCTTATTAGATAGGGGATGAGGCACACCCGCTCTCCTTTAGAAGGATTGGGGGTGCTCTCCGCTTGTTTTCCGCCATTGTAGGTGGCGAGACCGGCTCGGACCGGGACCATGTATGCCTAAGGGAGAAATCCCTTGGCCTGAAGCGACACTAACTCGCTATGCGGGATGGTGCAACTCTCCCAGTCCCCGGGTTTGGGACCGGAGGGGCGAGGGGAGGAGCTGCGACGGCTGGTCATGTTGGAATGGACCTTTGCTGGAAGCGCTCTGATGATAACTCGCGGAAAAGAGAAGATGTGATTTGGACCTAAATCCCCATCCCGTTAAATAGGCGGCTCGTTTATACGGCTAGGGGTGTGGATGTAAAAACGCCCCGGCTTTTCGCATTCGTTTGACACGTGGAAGACGGCCATTATTGGGCGTGGAAGCCGAGGAGCACTACATTACAAAAATCGGACATTATTCCTACAGGTACACAAGATTTGGAGAAGAACCCGCCTTGCAATGCCGAATAATCTGCGCGTCGAACTCGTCATTGAAGCCTGGTTCGGGGGCTACTGAGGGAGTCCTAGATTAGGGGGTGTTCGGGTAGCCGGACTCCAGGACTATGAAGATACAAGATTGAAGAATTTGTCCCGTATCCGGATGGGACTTTCCTTGACGTGGAAGGCAAGTTTGGTGATGCGGATATTCAAGATCTCCTATCATTGTAACCGACTCTATGTAACCTTAACCCTATCCGGTGTCTATATAAACCGGAGGGTTGTAGTCCGTAGGCAATCAACTCCATATACAACAATCATACCATAGGCTAGCTTCTAGGGTTTAGCCTCCTTGATCTCGTGGTAGATCTACTCTTGTACTACCCATATCATCAATATTAATCAAGCAGGACGTAGGGTTTTACCTCCATCAAGAGGGCCCGAACCTGGGTAAAACATCGTGTTCCCTACCTCCTGTTACCATCCGGCCTAGACGCACAGTTCAGGACCCCCTACCCGAGATCCGCCGGTTTTGACACCGACACCGGCCATCACGCGCCCGTGGCAAACGGCAACCTTCAGGTCGCGTGACAGTTCAGTGGCATGAGCATGCTCTCCCCTGATTGATTTTGTATGGTAGATTTTGTTGTGGCGCGGGGGCAGCACCCATGAGTGTTGTGTACATGTTCAATATGCATAACAGCTTGTCTGGTGACTTCCTCACCTAATGGTCAGATACAATTTTAGCGACAGTGAATAAACGCATAATAGGTTTGTTATCTGCTTTTGAATGTTCATAATGTGTAAAATGATTCAATTTTACTATGATTTTGCTTGAGAAGTTGAATCTGCAAAGTCTTGAGAACATTTACTATATACTCCAACACTGCAGGCCAAGTCTTGATGGATTTCCAATGTGCTTCTGGCCTCCCAATTTTTTTCGTCATGCAGCTGCTCCCCATCTCCCTGCGTGGTCCCATGATGGTTTGACTAGGCGCTGCCTTGACGGCTGAGCGTGTGCTGTCCATGTTAGCCGGCTCCTCCACCCAGGCGCCAGTAAGGACACTGCTTTATCCGAACCGATTGTCACGACCATGCGCAGGTACACACACATGTGCTCCCCTACCACCACTGCACTGATTTAAGGCAAAATCCAATTGGGAGGTATTGATAGGCACCAATGTGTTCTTGGTTGAGTTCCCATGTCTTGCATTACGTTGATCCTTTTGGTAAGATCAAAATGAACAAGTTGAACATCACTTGCCCAAAAAAGTTGAATGCCATGCTACATTATTCCCAATTTTGTAAAATTGATCATAATACTCCTGCTATCATGTCATGTTTGCTAATACTTATTGAGTTGTAAAACGATGTTTTCAGATTATAAGCTAGCCCTTCTTATTATGTTTGAGAAGATCGATAATACCCATTACATTACTACAATGGTGTAATATGTCTTGATATGCCTTTTTGTTTTTGGTTATTTTTTAGAACTTTTAGTACATGTCTTTATCAAGGCTAGAACTTCTGACAACTTTGAAGCAAGAAAGTTCAGAGAAATTGTTCCATGGAATAGCTAAATGATAATACTACTATTCATTTATGATTGATTGCAACATACAGAGATAGATATATTGAAGCTTGTAATGGCTAACAGCCAAAATTATGAATCTGTTCTTGATACTCTTTTTCTCTTTTCTTAATATCATCATATACAAATTAGAAGGTTTCTAACATCTGCATATTTCAGGTTTCAGAGAAGGTAGAGAAAGTGATGTTCAGACATTTCAGTGCAGCAACAGCAACACCTCCAAGTTGAGAAATATGCTCCTATTTATCCTTCTTTGCTAGCTGTGTTCCTCCACTGGGACCATTGTTGTGCTCTGAACTTCAAAGTTTTCATACACACAATGATGATTCAGTCAAAAATCTCTAGGAAGAAAATTATTTCGACAAGATTCACTCTACTGTGCCTATCGCGGTCCTTTGGATTATATCGAAGCGCATGAACTCCAAGCTCTTCTGCGATATTTTTGAGGAATTGCACATTACTGCTAGCAAGATTGCTGATGATCTTATGTTGTGGTCCAACAGGTATTCAAATGAAATTAAGAAAGGGCTCCTTAGAAATTGGAGCACTATGTTATATCACCTATCTGTGAGATTGTAATTTTGTCCCTCCTCTTCTCTGAAGTCTGGACTAAAAGTTATGTGGTTCTCTACTACTCGAAGAAAGGTAAATAGTCTTTTATGTGATTTAATTTTCCATTTGAATAAACACTGTGTCAATTATACAAGATGTCCATGCATGTCTTGTCTTCAGGTAATGGAAAGAACACTATGACAAGGCCACACTTCTGCATAGGTAATGGAAAGAACAATATGACAAGGCCACACTTCTGCATCTACCGTGACATTCTTGTGACCATATTGTGAGTTAAGTATAATAATATTTGTTCTCTATTGAATTTGCTATGGAGCGGAGCAAGTTATCTAAAAGAGGGAGGGATTATAGACATTTCATTCATGCCGTAGTTAAAAATAGAGATAGAAATAGAACGATGGGTGTAGATGAAAAAGAGCCATTACCCTTGCTTAAGAGTTAGGAGCATATGTTTTTTTGTGGGAGGATTGGGAATTGAGGATTCGGTGAGAGATTGATCGATTATTTATATGTATATGTTGTGTGAACTATATTTATTTTTCCGTGGCAACGCACGGGCACCTTACTAGTATCACCTATAATAGGACGGGAAAAGGATGATTTATGAGATACGATCGTTCCAGCAGCTTTAAGTGAGCATCTCAAGAAAATATCCACAACCGTCCCAACTGTACCATTTTTACAGTGACATGAGTTATGGTAAACAAACCAACTGGGTGAAGCAAGCCTCAACAGGAAAACATGACACATGATCATAGTGCCAAACTCGCCACAGCACCAGCCTTTTGTCACCTTTCCTTCCTTATGTTAAAGACAAGTAGATACAGCAGGCACCTAAAATATCATCTTTACCATGAAATTCAAAAATCAAACTCTCCTGAAGCCTGCAAACAGTAACGCAGAGTCAGCAAGAAGAGCATTGCATCAAGTGAAGAGCACTGAAGAATTATAACTTGTTGCTTACAAAGTCCAGGTGTGTGACCAAGTAGCAAGAAACAACAGTTCAATTGCTCAATCATGTTTGTATCACGACAGATCCAAAGATCAGGAAATCATACATTCACAAGTTTGACCAAAACATTATGATACCCACCTTGTTGAATAGAACATCTCTGCCATTCAAATGCATGATTCCATCCTTCAAAGTGCACTTCCAGCGATTCTTTGTCCTTGTTACCTAGTAAACCAGCAAAAGAGATAAGACATAAGGGCCTGAAACTAGAGGTAAAGCAGATACTGTTGAGCCAACATTATCTAATAAAAAGGAAGCAGTATTACTTTGTCGAATTGTGCAAGGACAAGGTGCTGCGTGTTAGGTTCCTCATCGCCATCCTGTAAGTCATCTATCTCGTCATCGTCATCATCATCTTCATTAAGAGGAGGTTCATCATCATCATCATCATCATCATCATCACCCGCCGTATCGTTTCTTGGCTTTGGTGTTGCAACAGCAGGTGTGGGAGTTCGATATTCCGCTAACACATCAAAATATGACTGATAAGAACACTCGACACATAAAAAAAATTATGTGTTTAAGGTCCAGAACGATGTCCACAATTCATGAGAAACTTACAAGATTCCCCAGGGGTATTGTAGTCTTCGGTTGGAACTCCTGGGAAGAAAAACTGCTGAAACATAAAAGAATCATGTTTAGTCAAAGAATCTGAAGATGCAAGATAGACTGATCGAGGTCTCGAGTTATATACATCGTTATAATCATCTTGTATCCCGTCCTGTTGAGGAAGAAGTGGTGGTATTGTGCTTTCTTCGATAGAAAGTGTCTTCGTTACTGATTCTTGCTTGTTCATGATGGAATTCCACACCTGTTGTGCGTTATCCTAAATAAAGACCCAAAAAAGGAGGATGAACTTCCGAAAACGAACACAAATAGAAACTCAGTATTAGCACCAAGGGCATGTACAATGGTGCTATCTTAGGAGTGCCACGTAGGATAAATGATGAGGTGGAGGAGAGAGAACTCATAATAAAAGGCTTGTCTTCTCTTATTTAAGAGGAGACAAGAGATGAAATCTTAGCATAATATGTCTCACCGTGTTTTTAGGAATAGCTAGTTATTGAAGATAAGGCTAAGAGATGACCCATTGTAGATATATTTTTTTGTCATATCTAAATTACATGCAAGACTCAAGATAAGACTATCTTATCAACCATTGTACATGCCCTAAGTTCATTGACGTGTTAGCGTTGACAATACGTCAGCGTCCAGTATTAGCACTAAGCAATAGGGAGCTTTTTCAGGAAGCTCCAAGACATTTAGAAAAAGTAGAGAAACATTTAGAAAAAGTAGAGAAATCTGAAATCCAAATTTGAACATTTGTGCTAAAATAGTAAATACAGAGTGTCTGGTGATGTACTAATATATTAGCATAAAGATGGATGAAGTGTGGGCCTGCATGCCAAAAATTGCCAGCTTAGATACTATCCTTTGATCCTTCAGTGGTTAAACATAACATATATCAACCAGATTAGTTGCAATTCTCTTTAAAATTAAGTTCATCATGTCATTTTCATAATTTAGCAGGCACTTCAGGAAAAACATTCGTGCAACATCCTAGTAAAATACACTGAACATATTAATATGTGAAGTGATTGGGAACTTAATCTAGGACCAAAAAATATTAGGTTTACAGATGATGAACTAGCACATAACAAAAATTATTAAACAGCCAACTTATGAGGTATCACTATATTATTCACCTGGCAACTAGATGACATATAAATCTAGACTATTCAAATCAAATTAGAGGTAGTAACAAGTTGAGGAAAATGAAATTGTTGTCATCGATATAGCATTGGATTGGGGGTTTTGTGAGCTTAGGTATTTGGTACAAATTGAAGTAAATACTAAAGCTCACACAAAAGAATGTTCCCAACTCAAACAGGCCCATAGGTAACAAACTCAATGAACTTAGTCCATAATCATAATAATACCAGTTGTCAATTAACTAAGGGCCCGTTTGGATACAAAGTATTTCTGAAATACTATGTTTTTTATAAAAAGCTGTAGTATTAAATACTTCTAGGCCCTGCTTGATAACAAAGTATTTTCTAAGTATACTGAGAATACTATATATTTATCTAAGTATCATAGTCTTAATTACTGAACCATGTTTGGCTACCCCCAAAAACCTAGGTACTAATACTAGAGTATTTCCAAAAATCAGGGTATTTCCTCTTTCTAAAATAAAGAATCCCAGCAAGCAAAAATAAAAAGAGCATGTCACACGTTATTTTCTTTGCTAGCTACTCGCAACAACTCGGCCTTCGTCCCATGTTGACACCACCGACCTCTCGTCTCTAGAGATGTCACTGTTGGCAGCCATGGAGAAACTAAGAGACAGCAGCTGAGAGAACAAAGATGAGCCCATTGTCCTTTATCCTCCCTCCTCCTGCCTCCGTGCCGTTCCCCCTCATGCATGTCCATTCGCTCAGCTCCGTTCATGGTGTGGTGGCGTCTCAGCGCAGCTGTTTGTAGGACTACACGGTAGGCCCAGCACCCCATGGTGCAACTCCACCGTGGGCGCCATATGATGCCTCCGTGCCAGCCGAGACGAATGGAACCACACCTTCCTCACCAAAAATCAAGCAGCAAGAATACAATCCTATTCAGTCGCGCGAATTTATCATTGCCGCAATTCCACGTACAAGATAGTCAGGTTGCTTACGTCCCAAGAGCAAGCGCATGCGGCTGTCAGATCCAATGCAGGGCGTCAAGCTTGGTCATGCGGTTCTAGTCACGCGCAGCTCCTGATGCCCCTGGACAGTGACGCAGAAAAAGGCCAAGCCGTTCCCGCTCCCATCCACAGACAGCTTCGCCACCTGTTGCACTGCCAGCTATGCCATCAGGTCCTAGCTCCTCGCGCTGCATGTTGTGGTACTTCGACTGCATCCTCCCCTTTGGAGAGTGTAACACCGAGCTTGTGCATGGCGCATCCAGTTTAGCCGTTTAGTAAGTGCATGGTTGTACTAGTTTGTTCATGCCGGTGCTTTGTGCATGGCCGTTTAGCAGTTTACAATGCCTAGCTAGCTAGCAACACGCACGTTTGCAACTGCTTCAAACAGCTGTTAGCTAATTTTACGTTTTTCCATACACGCTCTTACAAAAAGGCCCACAGTATTCACAATAATCCAAAATACCCTGTTATGTCAAAACCGTGATATTTTGTACCTACAGGCTAAATTACTGTAGTTTTTCTAATACTTTGTTTTTTTCAATACTTTGCTATCGAAACATAGCCTAGTGTTTCTATACTTTGTGGTTTTTCAATACTTTGCTATCAAAAACATAGCCTAGTTTGGTAACACAGTTTTTTCAAAGCCATAGTAAATCGAAACCTAAGGTTTCCAATGTGTGGGCAATGAATACTACGATAAAAACCATTGTTTTTCTCAGTTTTGGCATAACCACCGATGCCATAGTAATTCAAAACCTAAGGTTTCCAATGTGTGCGCAATGAATACCTTAGGCCTTAGCTTTGACTTGCTGCACCTAACTCAGCTACACTCAATGAACTGATCTGCGTGTAGAAACGGCCGCCCCATGCATGCAGCTATGCCATGCACTAAAAGTTCTCTCCTAGCCGGGGCAAAATCATTTGTGCATGTAAGTGCACCTATGGACATATAGAATCACTACGCTAGCTAGCCTTTAGCCTGATGCGTATGAGTGTGCTCCAACGATCAATCGATCTACTCCATGGGCAAGCTTCATTTGAGTCATGTGCTACTCCCGTAATCAGCAGCCCGCGACCTGATAAAAGTGTGTAAGGTCGTTGGATAGTAGCGTGTGCTGTCATCCCAACCGACAGTGGTGTCCGTAGAAAAACTAATCACCTAAAAATGAAACACCTAATAACAGGAGATGGATTATACTTCATTTAACAGATAGATTGACAGACAAAGGAGATGGCAATCGCATCTGAGATCTTCTGATCTGGACATAGAAGGCAACGTCAACAGGCTGAGCGCTCTGCCCCACGATTTTTATCGGTTCGGTTTAGAAAAAAGAGGCCCGGGCCTCTTTTTCAGATACCACAAAAATATTACGGTACGAGAGCAACCTGGGATTTCTTTCATCCAAACACCTCAAAGCATTTAATATACTCTCTCCATCCAAATATATAGGGCCTAATACGGTTTTCGGGGTTACCTTTGACTATGGGTTAGAGTAATGTTATATGACATGCATGTTACACAAAACATACTGTTATATTCGTATGTGAAAGAAGTTTCTAATTATATAATTTTTACATCATACATCTCATCATATATTACTAATCTTATCGATGGCCAAAGGCAACATTGAAAAATGAATTAGGCCCTATATATCTGGATGGAGGGAATAAAAGTTTTCACAAAACCATGCTATTCACAAAAAACTGTAAAAATGCTTTGCATCATGTTGGCCTCTCACGTCCATTGTGTCTCTTCTGGGCTTAGGTCATAAGGCATGGTTAACCATGCACTCTCGTGATGTTTCACGGTACTACAACAACAACAACAAAGCCTTTAGTCCCAAGCAAGTTGGGGTAGGCTAGAGGTGAAACCCATAAGATCTCGCAACCAACTCATGGCTCTGGCACATGGATAGCAAGCTTCCATGCACCCCTGTCCATAGCTAGCTCTTCGGTGATACCCCAATCCTTCAGGTCTCTCTTAACTGACTCCTCCCATGTCAAATTCGGTCTACCCCGCCCTCTCTTGACATTCTCCGCACGCTTTAGCCATCCGCTATGCACTGGAGCTTCTGGAGGCCTGCGCTGGATATGCCCAAACCATCTCAGACGATGTTGGACAAGCTTCTCTTCAATTGGTGCTACCCCAACTCTATCTCGTATATCATCATTCCGGACTCGATCCTTCCTCGTGTGGCCACACATCCATCTCAACATACGCATCTCCGCCACACCTAACTGTTGAACATGTCGCCTTTTAGTCGGCCAACACTCAGCGCCATACAACATTGCGGGTCGAACCGCCGTGATGTTTCACGGTACTAATTAATTCATTTCTTTCCTAACTATAGCATGTACCATAAGTTATGAGATATGTCAATTTCTGTTCTTTGCAGTCACAGCCAGTCTATGCACAGGGTCAAAATTGGTTCTGTGGCCTTGTATGCGTATACGCATTGAATCGACAGAGTGAGTTGTGTGTGTCTCTTACCTCGGTTGGTTACACAGATTCGATGCTGATTACAAACAAGATACTTTGATTAAGATATGTAACCATGAATTGTGATACTAATGTTCTTTTAATATACCGGTGTTAACACACAAGCTAAGCCAAATTGTGCACGTTATCACATGAAATTATTTGAATTCCTTTCAACGGTTAGTTGTTAACATAATATAAAACAAAACATAACACTCTACTTAATACAACAATTGCCAAACACCCATTGGTTTTTCCAATAGTGTAGATTGCTGTAGTGTCACCCATTGGTTTTCCCAATAGTGTAAATTACTGTAGTGTCTCTATACCGTGGCATTCCATGCCTGCATGTTAAAATATTGTGGTTTTCGGATAACGTTGTTTCTAAACCACCTTCCATCCAAACAAACTCTAATATTATAGTAACACAAATAAAACAGTCCCTCTATCATCAACTATCCACCCCGCACGTTCATAGTAATTAAGAAGTGAAAAAAATATTATAAAGAATTTTGAACAGTACCTTTGACCCCACAAATTCGGCAACCTGGTCTGCACATCCATCCTGTTGTGGCACAAATGAACCAGAAGGAAGCTGATCAGGATATTCATCCCTCTTCCGTTTTCCAGAAGACATCATCAGAAAATCCTACAAATTGAAATGAACTACACATAAATGCATATAGCATATATAGTGGAAATCAGGATTCTGACAATACTATTTTATTATGGATTCAACACTTCTGTCATTAGCTGATAATCCGGCAACTTGGATTACAACGATTCAGCAAAGATAAAATTCATGGTCTAAAGCTGCAATCGATCCATAACTAGTTTCACACGTTTGTGTGATAACTGCATGTAGTTGATATGTATTTTTACATGTGTACATCATTTCAATGTTCTTGCTAAAGAAATGTTGAGCTTCAGAAGTTGCATATATGATGGAGGTACATTTGAGAACACATAACTAGCAACAAAACAAGTGAAACTTCATTTCATTATAAATAGAGCCGTCAAAATTGCTCTGCCAAATAACAACATGCAGACTGACACCAGTATACAAAGCATTATGAAAAATCCTATGGATCTTCGTTTCATCATATGCCAAGCTAAATCCACTTTGTTTTCATTTGCCTATCACAACCCAAAGGTCAGGAACAATAAAAGCAGCAACATAGAAAATAGATGCTTTACTACTTGACTATTAGACTGTTATGACATCAACAAGACATGGTGCCATTAGAGTAATGTGCTATGTGTGCAAACTTATGGTGCAATTATTTCAAATATACTGTGGTACAAATGACGCAGGTGAAGAAGCTAGTAAAATATATAGTTGGTATTGTGGAAGGATCATCAGCCAATATTCCTAAATATCATTCAGACAGAGCAATAAGCACAAGTTCTATTGTTCCTTCCAGACTGAAAGAGCCAACACAATTGTCAGATAGCTAGTAACCGACGTGTCCTTTTTTTGGTGGAAGTTATTAATGTGCTGAGAACTCCAGATATGTGGGTTACCTAAGAAGCACCGATACAGAGATACAGACACGGCAATACAACTACGGTGACACGGGATACGGCATTTTTTGATAACAGCAATTCGGCGATACATCAGGGAATATTAAGTATTTAGAAAAATAGACATCATGCAATAAATATTTAAAGATAATTTTTAGATGAGAGATTTTTTTAGTTATATGTTGTCGCATTTCTATTGATTAAAGACTTTGAGCAGTCCACTCAGAGCCCATGTAGCTCTCTGGCCTCCGATGCCCATGTAAGGCCCAATTCCAGAAAACCCTAGACTAGTAGCTCTCCAGCCATTTCCTACTTCCCATTCTCGTACTCCTTTTCTCCAGCCGCCTGCAGAGAGGAGAAGAAACGACCGCACCACCGCATGTACCTTCTTGCATCGGCAGCTTCCATCACCATCTCTAAGTCTGCCCAAATCTTCTTCCTCGCTGACCGCTGCAGTCCCCATCTTTCTCCCTGCCCGGAGCTTCTCCCTCATCAGTCACCTTGCAATCTTCCTCCGCCGGGATGTTCTTCCTCCGCACGGTTGCCATCGGCAGGAGAATTGGGCAGTGGCATGGCCGCTGGAGGCTGGCTGCCGAGTCCCCACCATGTCCACACCGTGTGTAGGCCAGAGCCCGATTTAATTTCGTTTTGTAATTCAAAAAAGATAGGATACTGCAGGATACACGTATCACGTGTCCCCCCTGTATCAGGACGGACAATCGGCAGTTTTGGCCTTCTTTCTTTTCACACAGGCAACAATTGGGAATAAAACAGACCAGTGCTTTGTAGCTAACTACAGTATAGAATAGTAACCCAATAGAAAAAACCAGCAGGACCAATGTCTCTGAAAACAGAACAGATATTAATAACTGGTGAAAAGGAAGAAAAGAAAGTACAACAGTGCTGTAAGCTCATCCTTCACCTTAGTCAATGGCTGAGGTTGCATCATCCGGTCTGGGTCCTCACGGCTCTCCTCGTAAGCTGTACATCAATTAAAATTGTCCAAACCATCATTGCTTTCCTCGATCAATATTGCTCCAACCAGACAAAGATGAAGGTCATGCCGAGAACAAGAAGGGGCATAACATAGGCACATACCAACGTTCACATCAACCCCCAGTGGTCTCTGATTCATCCAGGGCGATGGAGGTTGCTGCAAAACAAACTTCCAAACATCAATCTCAACTAAAACAAACAAAATCACCTCCACACACAAACCAGAAAAGGTACAAATTCACTTTACCATGTAAGGGCTTGGTCGGCCAGTTTTTGGATCAGACCCATTCATCCCCATCCCGTTTCTCATGTCACTGATCGGCGATGGGGCATAGTCCGACGGCCCCGTGGGTATGTTATACATCCCTGTATCAATCCCTGGAAGTGGTGTCTGGATCGGGGTCTGCAGCGGCGTCTGCAACCAAATACAACCAACCCCATCAACACCCTGCATGTCGACCACATAGATCGCGGCCAATTTGGAGGATAATCGAGGGATTTTGCCTCACCGGTGGGAACAGCATGTCGGCGGTTGGGGTGGCGTACTCCTCGGACGTAGCCTCGTAGGGCACGTTGAGGTCGTGCACGGGTGGAGTCGCGCCAGCACCAGGAGCGCCTCCAGCGGAAGCGGGGGGAGCCCTGTTGCGGTCGATGTTCCCTGAGATTGCGCCACAGTGCAGCATCTTCATTTCCCAGAGCTAGGGTTTTCAGCCGGATCGGAAAGGCAACCGTCAAATCGCACAAATTAACCAGCAATTCGAGAGGTATTAGTACAAGGGGCTCGACAAATCGGCAGAACTTACAGCCTGGAGCTCGTTGAGGACGGCATCGCCAACACCGTAGGTAATGAAGTCCTCACGAACCTTGGCGACGACGTCGTCGATGACGGAGATGTAGACGGTGGACACGTTGCCGCTGGCCATGGCGGCGGCGGTGCCTAGGGTTAGGGTTTGCGTGGGAGGTAGCGACGGCGAGGCGGGCTGCAGCTCGGAGAGAGGGGAAACGGGGAGGAGGAGGCGGACGAGACGGATGGGGAATTAAGGAGAGAATATAAATAGGTTTGCAATCCGGTGGCGGCACGTGGCCGGGGTATTTGTAGCCCCTCTCCGCCACTGGCTGTGCCAGTGCACCGCCTCGGGGAGTTTCGGAAAAGGACACATGTTCGTTCGTGGTCCGTTGTGACTCGTGCTTCTAACATTTTTTTTAGGGAAAGACTCGCGCTTCTAACAGCGTGTTTGGAGAAAGGGCATGGGAATTCTTAAGGCCTCGTTTGATACAAGGGAATTGAGAGGGTTTTAAGAGGATTAACCCCGCGGGGCCAGAAACCTCGTGAAAGTTGAACGGCTCATTTGTTTCGTGTGGTTTTCATAGCTCATCCCTTTCGATCGCCGTCGAACCCCTTCTATCCACGCGGTTCTCAGCCCTCGAGGGGGGACTCGAGGATTTGGAGGAGAGACGTTGCCGCCGCTCGACTCCACGTCGCCGCCCGACGCCTCGACGCCGGCGTACCTCCTCTGGCATACTGGACTTCTTCCCGACGGTAAGTTCTCTCCTTCCTTCGCCTCGCCTCCTCTCCACTCCATTCCCCTTGTCGTCTAGGTTTCTTCAATCCGCCCGGCCATGGCTGCCTCCTCGTCCTCCCCGGCGACCTCGCTAAGCACGGCGTCTCCAAGGGCACCAAGGTCGTCACCTCCTCATAGACTGATGTTGGGTCGCTTGTTGTGGCAAATGTTGTTGGCTGCTAGTGTCTCCTGTTGGTGGTCGCTAACTCTGCCTATGTATCTCCAAGTAGTGCTATTAGTAATTGTTTGTGTGCTACTAGATGATTGCCAACGCTTGGTCGGCTAGTTGGTTGTGATCTATCTGAATGTTAATGTGCAAGTAGTACAACCACTGAATTTCATTGAAATCGTTGAATACTTGTTGACTCGTTGGTAGTAAGAACGGAATTATGTGGTGCAAACAAAGATTCAGGAATAGAGTTGAAATATATGTGTTGTTTGATTAGTACTTGTGATGTCGGGAAACAAACAGGGTTAGTATACTGCATGTCTATGTGCTATTTGATGAGTTTAGTATTTTCTGCACCATGCTTTTGCTGTTGCACAAGATTATCTCAAAGTATAATCTCCATGTGAAGAGTTTGATGCATCTGTGTTAATCTAGTCTGAAGAGGTGGAGTTTTGCACTTGCTTGCTGCTCACCATCAACGGCTACACTTTGGCATCATGTACATGGTCTACATGCCCT